CCTGGAAGCGGGAATTTGGGATTACTCAGGGGTGAGGTGACGAATCCATGAGTGTCCCAGATGGGAAGGCCTGGGATGGGAGGCGGCAGCACGGGAACTCCTGAGCACAGCTCTCCAGCTGGGATGAACTTCCATTTTCCACAGCCTGGGTGAGGAGGGGTTATCCTGGATCTGCATCCAGGATCCAGGGGTTACCCTGGATCACGTGGAGCTGCCGGGCTTGGAGCGAGCAGCCCCCTGTGGAAGGAGCAAGGTGTGGAGATCCTCTTGGAATTCTCTTCCCAGCAAAATAACCGACGCGGCTTTTCCACTTTTCTTGGGAATGTTGAGGAGAAGGGAGCGGTGCCAAGGCATCCTACCATGCTCCATTCCCAACTGCTCCATGCCAGGGGTGGCTCCAGCACCTTGTCCTTGGAATTCCGGAATTCTGAGCTTCCGCTTCCTTCCCACGCACCCCCGTTTTCCAGAGGGACAAAACTCCCACCTGATCCTGGCGGCTCAGCCCGCAGTGACCCTGTCCCAGCTCCGGGAAAAGGCAGGAAAACTCAGATATTGGCATTCCGGTTGGGAATTCTGGGCCCATAAACAGCTCCCTGCTCCTGTCAGGGAGTTTATGTTCCCATAAACAGCTATCCCAGCTCCAGGTGTGTGTCCTGCATTCCCAACTTCTTGCTCCGGAGAGGAAAGTGTTTGCGGAGTCACACGGACCCGCTCCTGAACTTTCCCACAGCCCGTTCCCTTGGGAAGCTGGAAATGTGGGTCCGCAGCATCTCCTGGATGAGCTTGGATCCTTGTGCCCGGATCCATGGACCTAAAAACGGCGTTTAAGGAATTTGGGATCATTTTTCCTTTCCTTTTGGCTTCTTTCCCTTGTCTCTCCCATGTTTTTCCCTGACACTTTCAGGCTCCAGCCTGTTTCCCTGTTTTTATTTTCCCTAAGGATGGGGTTCCGTGTCCACACATGCCTGGGAGTAGGTAGGGATTAAAACCACAGATATTTTGGGATGTTCTTCCGGCTCCCAATGCAAGCCTGGGCTTGGCAACCCCACTGCAACCATCCCGGTGCTCCCAGATTTCTGGGATAACCTGGAGCCAACTCTCCAGCTGCCGGAAAACCTCCTGACTCCCGGGATCCCTCTGAGCCATACAAAGAGATCCATAAACTCCCCGGCCTTTGGAATGCTGGTGGGTACCCGGAATCTGCTGGTGTGATTTCCCTAGGGAAAAATAAAGGAATTTTAGATGGAACTAGCTGCCACATTGCATCCAGCTCCCAGGGTTTTGCTTGTTGTAATTCCCTCTGGAATGTGTTTTCCCTGAGGAGAAGGTCCCGGAGGCTGGATCCATCCCTTTAGGTGCTGGAATTTGCCTTGCCTGTGGCTATCCCAGAAAATTCCTCCTCACTTGGAGCCTTCTCCGTGCTTGCAGCAACATTTTCCTATTTCCCTGCAGTCCTGGTTTATAAGGGATAATGAACCCAGACGGGAAAAATCGGAGAGGGACGTTCCGGGATTTGGAACTGCAGCTCCATCCGAAGGGATACTTTTCCTTTATCCACCCTGGCATTCCTCCAGCCCTGGAATTCCTGGCGGTCATCAAATGTCCTGGAGTAAAAGCAGATGCTTTAACAAAGAGCTCGTGGCCCGATCCAAAGTCATTCCCGCTGCTTTTCCAAAGGTTATCCGGCCATTCCCGGCCCCGCTGCTCCCTCCCTGGGAATATGAATTATTTTAATCCCAGTTGGGAAAATATTCCTTTTAAAGGTGGGTGGTTGGTCTGGGAACATTCTGGAGATGGATTTTTTGTGTTTGAAGGTTCCAAAAGCCATTCCTGAAATTAATTGGGATAATTATTTGGATCGTTATTAGGGATAAGCACAAAGCTGGGGAATTAGCGGTGGGAAAACTCAGAAAGTCCTCCTCCTCCTCCTCCTCCAGAGATCCCTAATCCGCTCTTTTGTCCCGAAGACTGGCATGACCCTGAGCTCCTTGTGGGCATCCGAGCCTCATTCCACAGTTTGGAGCTTTTCTTGGAATTCCAGACAGGTTTTCATTTCCGACGGCTCCGGGATTGGTCATGGTTAACATCTGGGAGCGTGATCAATCCCGATGGAGCCGAGCTGGGATGTGGACACGGCTGGAGAAAGGCGCAGCTCCACCAGTTCCCACTTCCCAGGAGATCCCAGCACCTCCCCACCATTCCCAACAATGTTTCCCTTTGTTTCCTTTCCCTTTTTACGCTGGAATTAATGAATTGTTTCCCTTCCAAAGGGGACGAGGGCAAGGAGGGCTTGAGGGAACAGCAAAACTCTGGGAAGAGTCCAAAAATAACCAATTTGGGAACTTCCAGCACGGAGCCTCCCTCTCTGCTCCTTTTCCTTGCCTAACGACCGTGCGGGGAACGAAGGGTGATGGATCCAAAGGGATTAATTGGGATTTTAATGAGCTCGGACATTTGGCTTGGGATGGGTTCCCCACGTTCCATCAGCTTTGCGGGCATGGGGATGGATCTTGGCATAGACCTTCTCCAAGGAGGAGAGCTGAAAGGAGAAAAGATGGGATAAGGGATGAAGGCAGATGGGAATTTCTTCATGGAATGGGGGGTTAGCATTGGAATTTCCCAGGGAGGTTTGGATGCCCATTCCTGGAGGCGTCAAGGAATAAGACATGAAAGAGACGGGAATTTTTTCATGGGATGATTCGTTAAGGATTGGAACAGCACAGAAAGGTTTGGAATTCCCACCCCTGGAAGTGTGTTAAGGATTGGAACAGCACAGAAAGGTTTGGAATTCCCACCCCTGGAAGTGTCCAAGGAATACCTGGACGAGGCACTCCTGGGCTGGGTGACAGGTTGGACTCGACAATCCCAGAGGTCTTTTCCAACCTCAGTAACTCCATGGGATTCTGCAGCACTAAAAGCCGACCTCCCGAGCTGCAGCTGGGGCCGAGCTTCCCCAGCACGGCCCGGGATGACTCATCCTGAAACTCCCCAAAATATTTTGCCAGGTGTTTGTTTCTCCAGGCAGCTGCTCCTTCCATGTTTAATCATCCCTGTGCCAAGATTCCGCACTCAAACCGGGACTTTAAAAAGGGCATTTTCTCATCCCTGCAGGAGCACCTGGAGGCAGGAACGCTCTCCCTGAAAACACTCGGGGGTTTGGGACGCAGATATAAACTGACATTCCCGTTTCTCCCCCAAATAATTTGGATTCGCCAACCGCGGTGAGCGCTCGGCACTAAGGAAAAATAAACACTGGGGGGAAAATGTTATTGCTGGGAGGAGAGATATTTGCATTAAAAAACAAAATATTGGGATCGTTCTGGTGGCTAAAAGTCAAGAGGCTGCCGGAGGAGGACGAGAAGTTTGGGATCTTGAGAGGGAATGCTGCTCTCTGGGGAGCAATGGAAAAACAGTCCTGTTCCAACAGCCAGCTGTTGGAAAAATATCACTTCATCCGATGTATTCAGATTTATTTTCCTTATCATTTCCCCTGGTGAACAGCTGGGATCAGCTGGAATTTGTCCGGAATCACCTCCATGAAATCAGCAGCTCTTTTAATCGGTGTCTTGGAACAACAGGAGGGTAAATCTGGCAAGAATTCCCTCTTTTCTTGCCATTAGGAACATTAGGAATAACTTTGGGGGTTGTTTTGCTGGATTTCTTCTGGCTGGGAGCAAGGTGCTAATCTGAATTCATTCCTTGGGATCCTCTGCATTCCGTATGGATTTCTGGCGGAATATTGAGCTGGAAGGGACCCTGTGGAGAAGGGGGGGGGGAAAAAATACCAAGATTTTCCTCCCACCTCCTTTTGCTAATGGAATATTTGTTTTATATTGAACTGTAACTAAACAGGAGGCAGCTCCTTTCTAAGCGGGAAAAGCATTAACATCCTGTCTTTTAGCCGGAGACTAAACATTACCCACCTGTTTCCCAGATCCCGGACGGAAAACGGGATCTTTAGGATATTCCAGCCTCAACTATTTCAAACTCAACTATACAAAAAATCAATTCACAACCAATTTCAGTCTGGGCTTGACTGGCCGTGTTAAGGAGTTAAAAATACATGGATCAGACCTTCAATATCCATGGAATGTGATGGGAAATCCTTTGCTTCCAGAGGCAACTGTCCGGGTTTGAAGCCCAGGGTTTAGCAGGGGTTAAAATACTTGGGAGAAGAAGGGGAAAAATTTCGCCAAGAGCTTAAAAATGTGTGATAAACAAGCGAACGAGCTGTGCCGAGGATTTATTTTGTGCCAGAAGGAAAACATCATAGATGAATCCCGGAATTTGGATTCCCATCGCCCTAACACATCACTTGTCAGGAGTGTGGGGTCAGCATTGCAGGGAATTAACTCCAAAGCAGCCCCGCTCCCTCTTCCCCTGGAGTTGTGGGAATGCATCCCGCTGCCGGCGCCGCCTCGCAGGAATGAGCTCCCAGGAAAAATGAGAGGGAGAGTCTGGAATTCACAGCCCAGAGCCAAAATCCTGGGAGCCTTTGTGCCCGGGGTGGTGCTGAGCTGGCTCCGAGCTCGTTCCGGAGAAACCTTCCAAAAGCGGGGTCTTGGCTTTGCTGGGAGCCCTTCCAGGGACTCCTGGGTGTGTCCCCACATCAGGAACACGGAGCTGGCATCCGAAGTGTGGGCTCCATAATAACCCCAGGAACACAGAGGGCTGAAAAGGGCTTTTCGTTGATTTGTTCCTTATTTTTGGTTTAATTCTAGTTCATTTAATTTATTTATCGCCTCGGTCCGTAACAGTCATCGGTTTTCCAGGTTTTCCAGAGCTCCGAGTGTTTGGTCCGGAGAAGAGAAGCTTTGGGGTACCCCAAATGCAGCACTCCGGGCCAGGACCTGAAGGAGATACACGTGAAGAGAGATTATTTCCATGGGCTTGGAATGATGGGACAAGAGGGAATGGTTTCCCGCTGCCAGAGGGCAGGAACAGGTGGGATATTGGGAAGGAACTGTTCCCTGGGAGGGTGCCCAGAGAAGCCGTGGCTGCCCCTGGATCCCTGGAAGTGCCCAAGGCCAGGCTGGAGACCCCTGAGACACTGGAAGGGGTCCCGTGGCAGGGTGTGGTGGAACTGAATCATCTTTAAGGTCCCTTCCAACACAAACCATTCCATGACCTTGGAATTTGATGGTTGGACCTGATGATCTTAAAGGCCTTCTCCTATTGCCTCTTGGTTTGCTCTGGTATCCGGGTTTTCCCCACCAGAACTTCAGTGGGAATTCAACTTTGCTGGTTTTTAGGATTCTAAAATCTCCTTTTTCATACAAAACACACAGGGACTTCCCTCAATTCCTGTGGTTTTCGAGTGACAGCAGGATCTTGGAAGCGTTCTGCCGGGATACGCGGAACTCCTGCTCCTTGAGACTGAGCGTGACGGGGAGAATCCGTGGGATGTTTGATTTGTAGCACGATCCCATGCCAAAATTTCTTAGGGAGGACAAGAGATAAGCAGTGCTCAGTGCTGACACACGGAGCAAGGCCTGCTCTGTGCTTCCCATCAGGATTTTCTCTGGAATTTGCGTGTTTAGCCCACGCTGACAGCCCTGTCCCTGCTTCGGGGATGATCCAGAGGTTTACTCGGCTCCTGAGGAAAGGCTTTTGGGAGCTCTCTCTGCAGTGCCGTGGTTGATACCCAGGGTTGGATTCCTCTGGATCACAGGGATGAGCAGGGCCACCGTCAGGGCTGCTCTTTCCGAAGTCTGCAGCATCCTCTGGTGGAGCCATACGGAAGGGATAGCCATCCATGGAAAACACACCAGGATGTTTCCCTGGGGGGCTCTAAAATGTCCCCCAGCTTTGCTGGGAAGAGCCAAAATTGCCAAGGCCCTCTGTGCTCCAGGGGGAAGGAACCTGGGATCTGGGGACATTCCCAACCCTTGCTTTGCTGGAGATGTCCTGGCTGACCTCAAACACAAACGCCCGACGGATCAGGAGCAGAACCTGACTGGCAGAGCCGACTCCCAGTTTTTCCCCCTTTTCCTGGTTTTAGTCACCAAGATCAATCAAAGCCCCAGGTATTCCTCCACTCCCCACCAAGGGGAAGTGCTCAGATAAAATCTGAGTTCCCAGGCTCCGATTCTTCCCTGGATTTTGTTGTTTTGGCTTAACAGGTTGTTTTATTTCGCCATCCCGGCGCCTAGAATGCTTCACCCACTGCAGGATACCAGGGATTGGCATTTCCCACAGCTGCCTCCCACGTTTCATCCCTCCTGTTGAAGTCCCGAAATTAAGGATTGGGAAAGAGCAGCTATGATGCTCTTCCTTCTTTCTCCCCACAGGAGAGACATGGAGAATTCCATGGGCTCTAGGGAGCCCCTGAAGTGTATCCGAGCACCTGGAACATTTGGAGAATCAAGTGGATCTCCTGAGAAACAAAACTGGTGGCAAAGAGCAGAGTGTAAATTCAGCCTTGGGAAAATCCCTCCTGGGACGGACACACGGACACAGCCCAGCAGTGTACCCAGAAATTCCCTCCATCCTCGTGGAATCCAGAGTGAATTAGCCGGGTGCTGCCCAGCTCCTCTGGGTGAGAGCTGCTGAGTTTTGCGATAAAGGAAAAGCAAACACGGATCCCTCGTGCAAAGATGCAGGAATATTATCCTGACATTTTCCACACGCCTCGCTCGCACTGCCGCTCGTTCTTCCTGCTCCGAGAGCTGTGTCTGGACAATAGAAACATTCCCTGGCTACAAACGAAATAATCAGGATTGAAAACGTGGATAACGCAGATGTCTGCCTTTCCCGATTTTTTGGTTTGGTTTTTTTTTTTTATGGAGTAACTTATTTTACATTTCCTCAGGGAATTGCAGTCATCCAACTTTTACAAGCTGTTAAAATGTGAAGATTAAAACCTGCATTTAAGTGAGGGGGAAAAAAATAATGCTTCAAAGGAGGAATTCATCTCGGAAAAAAAAGATTGGAAGTGCTCGGCAGCCCACTTTTAAATGATTTTATGTGATAAAAGACAGGAACATGAGATCACCAGCGGGAAGAAACAGGGAGACCCTGAGTTTCTCCGAATCCCAGATTTACCCCGCTAAAGTTCACAGCTTTGTACTGGTTTTTATGAACACCTCCCTTAACTCTGGCACTGATCACCCAGGATCCCCAGTGGATATCCCGGGATCCTCACGGATATCCCGGGATCCACACCGGGAGGGCCCGAGGAGCTGCCCCAGCGAAGCGGGCTGCATTTAAAGCACCTGAGGACGCGCATCACCGAGGTCATTTCACCTGATAAAACCCGGCTTTTTAAAAGCGCGGAAACAAACCGTTCCCAGATCGTTTCGGAGCGCTTTTTTTGCGGATTCGGGCCGATTTAAGGCGGGATTGGGGGTTTTTGAGGTTTTTTCCCCCCGGTTTGTGGGAACGCCCTGCCCGCACTCAAGATGGCGGCGGCGCTGAGGCGCTGAGGCCGCGGCCGCCATGGCGGGAACCGGCGGCGGGGTAAGGGCGGCCCGGGGCCGGGAGGGACCCTCGGGATACAGCCAGGGAACGCCGGGAATCATTCCCGGCAGCGATCCCGGCCGCTCCTGTCCGGGGAGAAGCGATTCCCGGCTGCTGCCGGCAGCGGGAGCGCGCAGGTGACTCCCCGTGACGTCCCGGCGCGCTGAGCCTCCCGGTTTATGGGAAAGCTGGGATAAACATTCCCTATCCCTGCTTTCCTTGCAGCGCTTCCCAGGTATCCGGCTCCAAATCCCGTGGCTGCACGCAAAATGCAGGAGAGGAAGGCGGCTGTGCCGGTGGCACAAGGAGCAAAGCGGAACATTGCCCGAGGATGGTGAGGGCTGCTCCTGAGGGAGCCTGGAATTCCTCGGGGGAGGAGCCTTCCCAGCGCTGTCCCGAAGGTAAAGTCCGTAGGGAGAGAGACAAGTGCTCGGCATTTAAAAAATAAATAAAATAAACAACACCCCAAACTTCAGGACTTTCGGAGGAATTTGGCCAGGGCTTTGCTGGAGGGAGAATGGAAATTCTCTGGAGTGGAAACAGATTTTTTTCATAGAGCGCAAATACAGATTTTTCTGGAGCATCAGTGGGGATTTTCCTGGGAGAGTTTTCTGGAGTGCAAACTGAATTTTTTCTGGAGCATCAGTGGGGATTTTCCAGGAGGGTAAATGGAGATTGGGGGTGGTAAATGGAGATTTGATTCTGGGTGATGAATAGGGATGCTCTGGAGCATAAATGGAGATTTTCAGGTGGATAAAACAGAAATTTTTCCAGCAGGTAAATGGAGATTATAAAAATATACGAATATAAATATTTTCTCGGAGGTTCAGGCTGCTGTTGGGCTTTATTTTTTAAAGGAATTATACCAATTCCAGTTGCACTGATTCCAATTCCTCATCAGGAATTCCGTACTTGAAATATGGATTGAGTTTTGCACCAGTTCTGATGCGGTTTTGACATTTCTGATGGTGAAGTGTCTTCTCAAATAATCTCTTGGATTAATTATGCTTCCTGCAAATCTCGCACACCTGTGCATGTTTTTTAAGTATTTATTCCCAAATTGCCAGGGAAAAATCTGGAAAGTAGTTACAAACAAAGCCATAAAATGGGGAGGAAATGGGGTTTTCGGTTAAACCCTTGGAGGGAGTGTTTTGGAGACTTAAGCATTCGGCAGCACTTTGGAAAACCAAAGATCAGCTTCCGAACGGGAACAGAAAATAGAAATCCCGTTGGGTTTTTTTCCTGAAGGAAAACATGGTGGGAATTGATGGATTTGTGGAAAGATGCTTCAGTTGCTGGTGGGGGGCAGTGTGTTAATCCAGAAGCAGCTGAACTCGGAGATGATCCTGGAACTTATCTCTCCCATCGGGCTCCATGTCAGGTCCTGGTGTCAGAGGAGCTCCCGCGGGAGCGCGGATCGGGATCTTATCGCAGGCGGGAATCTGGCAAAGGAGCGGCAGGGAATTAGCAGGTGCTGCTCTCATTGATTTCTCTAAGCACTGCACACAACCCGGGATTTCCTGCTGGAAACCACGGAGGCAGCAGAAGGGCTGGAAGCTCCTGTGGATTTTGGAGCCGAACCTCTGGATCTGCACGGCTGCTGGTGGGCCGGGGTTGTGTCTCCAGGTGGGAACAGCTGGCAGGGGTTGGGTCGGGAGCGTTGAGGAGATCCCTGCTGGCTGTGGGAATTGCCCGGTAGGAATGCGGATGTGAGCGATCCTTTTCCGACAGAATACAGGCTCTTGCCCCGGCGTTCCCTCAATTTCCTGCTCCTGGGAGATGGTTTAGTTCAGATGCTGGTGGTCCATCCAAGTTTGGAGGTCTCTTCCAACTCCAGAGGTTCTACAATTCCACCCCTGCAGGGTGAGCAAGGAATGAGGGCGTGGAATTCTGCTGGGCTTTTCCCTGCCAGACTTGAATGGAAGGATAGGAAAAATCATTCCAGCGTTTCTCTGTTTTCTTCTGGCAGGATGGAGAAGAAGAAAATCCTGATGAAGTCCAAGGTTGCTGCTCCCAACCTCCTGAGGGCTCTGCATTCCCTGTACCAGCTCGGGCACCTCTGCGACGTCACGGTCCTCACCCAGCACCTGGGAATTCAGGAGGAATTCCTGGCTCACAAAGCCGTCCTGGCAGCTTCCAGCAACTACTTCAGGGGGCTTTTCCTGCACCAGGAGATGCTGGACGCCCAGAAGTGCACGGTGACCCTGCAGGACATCTACACCGAGGAGTTCACCTCCTTCCTGGAGTTCGTCTACACGGCAGAGGTGGAGATCGAGGCGGAAAAGCTCCAGCGGATGAAGGAAATAGCGGAAAGGCTGGAATGCAAGGATTTGCTGGACATCTGTGAAGAAGTGAAGGCAGAGGGCAGGAAGGGCTTGGATTTGAGCCTCCGCCTGAAAGGGCGGAGGGGTGAGAACGGGGGATCGCAGTGGCCTGGCATCCAGCAAGAGGAGAACCCCAGGAACTCCGCCCAGGTCGTGGCAATTCCCATGCAGAGGAAACTCTGGGATAGGCAGAAGCATCAGGAGCTGCTGCCGGAGCTCATGGGAGGCCAGGCAGGAGGCCTGGAGCGGGAGGCCGCAGCTTTCCCAGCCCCCAAATCCAGGCTGGCAAAGCCGCCCAAGTGCAACGAGCCGCGTTCCCCATCGGGACTGGGTGTGGCCATCAGCAGCCTGGAACACCAGGATGGCCGTTCCCTGGGCGAGGGGCAGGAGCGGAAGCGGGAATGCCAGGCGTGTCCCTACTGCGACGAGGCCATCGGCTCCGAGCGCGGCCGGACGCGCGGCGGGGACGGGCCCTACCGGGGCTTCGCCCACGGGGCCGCCTGCACCTCCCACCTCAGGTACGGAACTCCCGGGAATGCGCTGCCCAGGGATCCCGGGATAAAGCATTCCTGGAGTCCTCCCTGCCTTCGTTCCGGGATTCCTTGGATCTGACTCAGAGCGGGTTGAAATGGGAATTTTTCTCTTGGCCACGCGGTGTGGATGACTGGATTGGGGTCTCCCAGATGGGGAATTCAGGGAATTTCCTGTTGGATTGTGCAACTGGAATTCTTTGTAATCCCCAGATTTGGGGTTATAAATAGGAATTTTGTGTCTCTCTCTGAGCATTTAATCCCTGTTTCCTTTGGTTTAAATCCGTAATTTCACGGCCTGGGAAGAAAAGTCCATCCTACGTTCCTGCTGAGGTGAAAAACGCAGACCTTAATGAACTGAGGCATTTTAATTGTCCTCAGTTATCCAGTCCAACTCTTCCCAAACTCCCCCTATTTGCAGGCTTTCCAAACATGCTGGGAATTTCTTAAACGGCGCAAGCAACAATTGGAAGGAACAGACTCTTCCCCCAAGGCCTGAGTTGAAACAATTAAACAGTGAATGAGTTCCAGTTAAATTTAATTGAAGTTGTGCTCCGTTTTTAACAGGAAAATCCATGAGTCCGGGCAAGAGGGGAAACTCCTGCCTGTCTACTGGATGGTGGTTCCACCTCCGCAAGGCCCAAACCCCACAGGCTGTGGCAGAGATCCTGACGGAGAGACTCGGGATGGGACACCGGAAGCCTTGGGGTGCGAGGAAGACCCTGGGAATTCCTCCGTTGCTGAAGCAGAAAGGAGCAAGGAGCAAGAGGAATCCCAGGAAGCTGAAGGAGGGAATGAAGATGAAGGTGGAATGAGTGTGAAGGGCGAGGAGCAGGGAGAATACGACGCGGGATACTCGGAAGTTGAAGGAAGCAGAGACAACGAGGAATGTCACGAGCAGGAGGAGGAGGAAGCCTCAACAGAGAAGGACAGCAGTGAACCCTGTGAAGCGGGGTTCAAGCTAAAGAAGGCCGGTAAAAGCGTGGCCAACAAGAAATCCCTGTGCGTGATCCAGTGCGACAAGTGCCAGGAGCGGTTTGTTTCCCGGAAGCAGTACGTGGATCACTGCCGGGACGCGCACCAGAGCCTGCCCGGCAAGGCCTACCGCTGCGAGGAGTGCGGCAAGGCCTTCGCCAGCTCCACCAGCTGCAAGGAGCACCGCGCCTGCGTGCACAGCGAGGAGAGGAGGTTCTCCTGCGGCCTCTGCCAGGCCACCTTCAAGAGGAAGCGGGATGTGAGGAGCCATTCCGTGCGGAAGCACGAGGGCAGGGCCAAGCGGCCGCTGTGCTCCGTGTGCGGCAAGATGCTGAGCTCCCGCACGGCGCTGGTGCTGCACATGCGGACGCATACCGGCGAGAAGCCCTACGAGTGCGCCGTGTGTCGCTCCAGGTTTGCTCAGCCGTCCCAGCTCAAGATCCATACCAGGTCAGACTCCAGCCGTGCCCCTTGCTTGCCCCTTAGAGCAGGAACGCCGGGATATCGGGTTCGGTGGGATCCGTGATGAATTCCCCTTTAGGCGAAGGCTTTGGCTCCGTGCCGCGTTTCCCGCGGTCGGGGTTTCGACACGGATGCCCCGTCCAAACTTGCGAGGAATGTCCGTCATTCGGGACAGGCTCTAAAACCCCACGCCGGCCCTCGGTGACGAGGAGTGAGTCAGGGATCCTGGATCAGCGGGTCCCGGAGCAAGGGATCGCCATGGGATTTCATCTCCGTGCACAGCTCCAGATCCGCGCTGCTCGGTTGCAGCTTGACGGGAGGAGCTGCTCCCTGGTGGTGGTGTCTGCGTGGATGTGTCCTCTCCCAGGAGAGGGTGAATCATCCCCTGGAATTCCCCCTCTTCGGAGCAAGAGTGATGACAATCCTTTGTCCTGACGGCTCAGAATCAGGAATGATTTTGGATGTCATCCTCTTTGGGTTGGAATAAGTTAAGACCAAACATTGAGGCTCAGATTTTTCTGATTCTCTGTCAGAGACTGTCAGAAAATGACTTTCTGTCATTTTCCCTTCTTTCCCTTTTCCCATGCTCTGAGCTGCCAGGGGTGGGAAAAAAAAAAAAAAAAAAGGATTTTGTAGGGCATAAAAGTGAGGAAAAGGTAACTTTTAAATGGGGATTTTAAATTTTAAAAGGTAAATTTAAAACAGGAATTTTAAATTTTAAATGGGAATTTTAAATTTTAAAAGGCAAATTTAAAACGGGAATTTTAAATGGGGGATTTTAAATTTTAAAAGGAGAGTTTTAAATTTTAAATGGGAATTTTACTCCTGGAGACACTCTGTTTTTTGCAGGAGCAGAGTTTCCTTTTCCCACTACATTTCAAACCCAAACATCGTTTCAGGCCCAGCATTTTAGGGATCAAGACCTAATTAATCCCTAATCACCGGTGTTTTGTCTCCATTTTGTCTCCATTAGATCCCACACCGGGGAGAAGCCCTACATCTGTGAGGACTGCGGCGCTTCCTTTGCCGACAGAGGAAAACTCACCGGCCACAAAAGGACACACACAGGTGGGAATTAAATATTCCAGCTGGTTTTCCCACCCCTTTCCTGTTTTATTGCTGAGATACGAAAGAAATGCTCCCTTTTTTGTAACTCCTGGAAAAGTATCCAAGTACCAGGAAGGAATTCATGGGGATAGAAGGACTTGTAACCTGGAGAAGAGGAGGGACTTCGTTGCTTTCTGCAATTCCCTGACAGGAGCCGGGGGGGATGTGGGCTCTGCTCCCAAGGACCGAGGGATAGGATGAGAGGAACGTCCTCAAGTGGTGCCAGGGGAGGGTATCGGGAAGGAATCCCTCATGGAAAGGGTTCTCAGGGTTGGAATGGGATGGAGTCCCCACGCCTGGGTGTGCCCGGGGACACTGCCGGGGCGGGGATCGGGCACAGGTCAGACCCGATGACCTCGGAGCCCTTACCCAGCCTGGGCTCTGGGATTCACAGGCCGACTCCTACGGATAAATCCCCCTGGGAGAGTTCCTGGTTTCTCTTCCCTCAGGAGAGCGGCTCTTCGGGTGCGACGTGTGCGGGAAACACTTTGCCACCAACGAGTACCTCAAGTGCCACAAGCGCTGCCACCTGGGAGCCAAACCCTACAGCTGCCAGGTCTGCGGGAAAACCTTCGGCCTCAGAGCCTCCCTGGCCCAGCACAGCAACGTCCATGCAGGTAATTCCCAGGCTGGGAAAGGGATCCTGCCTTTGTGCTGCTTCCCGCTGGGGGTGGGACCCCAGAACCACTGAGGTTGGGAAAGGGCTCCGAGGGCGTCGGGTCCGAGCTGTGTCCCCAGCTCGTCACCGTGTGCCACATCCAGGCATTCCTTGGATTCCAAGGAGGGGAATTCCATCGGGAAGCGGGGCTCATCCTGACCCTGGCTCACGGGCGCCGTGCGCGGTACCCTGAAAAAACCCCGAGGCCCGGATTGTGCGGAATCTGGGGGCGGAGGTCGGCCGCGGCCTCGGCGGGCATTGGGGAACATTTCCCACGGAATGGTTGGGATTGGGAGGCACCTCAGGGCTCATCCCATCCCACCCCCTGGCACGGACACCCCCAGCTCTCCCAGCCGGCTCCGAGCCTCGGGCGCTGGAGAGCCGCCTTGGAGGAGCCGCTCCTACGGGGCTGGTTGTTCCCAGAGAGGCGTCCCTATTTCTGCGAGCAGTGCGGCAAGGCCTTCACGCAGCCGGGAGCTCTGCGGCGCCACCAGCGCATCCACACCGGAGAGAAGCCCTACAAGTGCCGGGCCTGCGACAGGACCTTCACCGACATGTCCACCCTGCGCCGGCACGCGGCGGTACGGCATCCCACCGGAGCTCCCCGCCCCTCCCTGCCGGCATTCCCCATCCCAGCGGGAATTCCCAGCCCTCGGGAGCTTCGGGGCAGGGCGGGGAGCCGCTGCCTTGACACCTATTCCTGAAGTTTGTGGGGTTTTTCCTCTTTCCTCCCTGCCGCTGCTGGCTGCCAATCCAGTCCGTTCCTAGTCCCAGGGGGAGGGTGGCCATCCCTGGAAGTGACGGCACTTCCGCTCCCAGATCTTTTCCTAAAAGACTGCGTGGGAAGGTGTGAGGAAGGGCTCGGGATTTGAGGTTGTTCTTTAGGGATGAACAGCAGAGTCCCCGCTGCTTTAACCCTCACTGCGGCCCCGCGCCGCAGGAATTCACACAATCCCAGCTCAGGAAAACGCTGAGCTCGGCTCTTCCCAGACACCTCCGGGTTCTGGAAGTGACAGCGAAGACAGAACGGGAGATTCCCTTCCAGCTCCCAAGTCAGTCTTCTGCCCGTGTGCCGAAATTCCAGCTGGCTTCTGGAAGCATTCCGTGGCAGCAGAGCCAGAAATCCGGCACGGAGCTGGCAGAAGAGCCTCGTTCGTGTTTGAGTTGGGACTTGGAGCACAGGATCATGGCGCTATCCCAAAATTGTTGCGTTTAGCTCGTGATGAAGTCAAATATTTGGCAGATAAAGATCAGATCCAACCCTTTCCCCGCCCCGCTCCCTTTTTTCCCCCCCAGATCCACGACCGCAACGCTCACTGGAGGAGCTTCTTGATCGACCTCACACAGAAAAAACACCACAACTGGTCCAAGATCGAGACTTTGGCGGAGGCGCAGCCGGGACGGGATCCCACACCGGGAATTTGGCCGCTGGACCACGGGCAACTTCACAAACCACAAAGGGCCAAAGCAGCAGCAGCAGCAGGCGTGAGCCCCGGGCCTGGGGACAGCGGGGGCGCTGAGCCCTCCCTTTTGTACTTATAAAGTCCTTTTTAGCCCCAAAACGGGCGCTTCGAGGGGGGAATTCTCCTTTGGGGTGCAGGGAGCCGTTCCCAGCGCTCGGTGTGACCTTGGGCAGCGTTACAGGTGCTGAAGGGGTAATTTATCCTCCTCAGGAGGGTGTTTATTCCACTGAAACCTTTGCAGCCGTCCGGAGGTTTGAGTTTTTCCCCGAAGCTGTGGGAGCATCCCATTGGGAGTGGGCGGGGCGGGGTGTGTGTTTACGGGCCGCTGTACATCACCAGTTCCTCCTTTAATAAAGCTCTCAGTGCCGCCCAGCCCGGCCCTCCTTCATTCTCCCGGATTGCCCTGGCGAAAACGCCGGGATTTGGGAATGCCGAGGCGGGGGCGGGAGGAGACCGC